CACAGTCCTCGCTCAGGCAGGGTCCCACCGCGTAGGGCTGGTGTTTGGGGGCCCAGCTGAGGGCCCTGCGCGGGGGGCATCTCCCCCTGCCCCTCCCTTCCTATAGCGCAGGGGTGATCCCAGCGATGGGCGCTTCCCCCTGCTGGTGCCCCTGCCACGGGTGCTGAAATGCCATCTGCTCGCGGCTGGGGGGCAAAGGGCCCTGATCCAGGGGGCTGTGCAGAGGGCTGGGGGTCAGGACTCCTTGGGGGCCCAGCTGAGGGCCCTGCGCGGGGGGCATCTCCCCCTGCCCCTCCCTTCCTATAGCGCAGGGGTGATCCCAGCGATGGGCGCTTCCCCCTGCTGGTGCCCCTGCCACGGGTGCTGAAATGCCATCTGCTCGCGGCTGGGGGGCAAAGGGCCCTGATCCAGGGGGCTGTGCAGAGGGCTGGGGGTCAGGACTCCTGGGATCTATTTCTAGCTCAGGGAGGGAAGTGGGGTCTGGGGGTAGGACACCTGGGTCCCATTCCTGGCTGTGCGACCGTGGGCAAGTCCTTTCCCTGCCCCGTGCCTCAGTTTCCCTCCATAAAGTAGGCAGAACTATGACCACCTTCGGGGAAAGAAACCCTACAGGGCGCTTGGCTTGTCAGTACTCGCTGAGTCCGGTCAGCTGTTCCATCAATGCCTGAGGTCAGCTTTAGTCTGTTTGGGGCAGGGCTGTCTTTGTGGTCCCTTTGCCTTGCCCTGGTCCCTGTATAGGGTTCCAAGACACGGCACCTAAAATAATGTGCTGTTCCCAGCATATCTTCACCCGTCTGAGGCTCCAAGGTACTACCGTAATATACCTAATCATGTACAGACCCCAATATTTTAGGGTCCTAGTTCTGTCCCACGAAGCTTCACTTTGGGGAGTTGAGGAACGCTGGCACCACTTGCTGGAGGAACCAGAAATTCCTTTGACTTGGTAAAATCCATCCTTGCTTATTTCCTCTTTAGGAGCTGGTAAAACACAACCTGGAGCCAACAGAGAAGGAGAACTTGCGGCTGGCGCTGGATGCCATGCAGGTGGGGCTGGCTCAGTGTCTCCCGAGCCCTGAAAGCTTTTGGGATGATCGTGAAGGATTCTAAGTGAGGCTGAAATTTTCCACAGAGTGGAAATTCTGAAAAAAACCGCAATTGATTTGGAAACATCTCAATGACTCGAGGGCTTGTGGAGACATGGAAATGGACCAAGGTACCTATTCTGGAATACTTATTTTAAATAGGTAGTGTCTACACATAGATGTTTTCTGAGCTAGCTATTCCGGAATAATTGTTTTATACCCATAGCAGAGGGGTCAGGAAGGAATTTCCTTACTCTTACTCAGCACTCCTGACTAAGCCAGGTGTGATGGTGACCCCTACTGGTGATACCAGGCACTGCAGCCTTCAAGGAGACAAGGGTTTGCTCTGTCTCAATGAAGAATCTCCCTGTAAATTCTGCTAGGGCTGCTGTACTCCAGGGGACAGGAATACTATAGGCCCATCCTTCCAAAGCTGTGGTGCATCATGGGAGATGCAGTCCAGTTGTAAAGCCTGGTCCAGAGCGGAGAATGTGGTAACTGAGCTACCATTCCCACTGGCTGGTTGCTGGACTGGACGGATCCCTGATCTGTGCTGTGTTGGGACTTCTAACTTTGGGGCACCTGTAGGAAAGTCCCACTGGCTCATGAGAGCTCAAGAATTCAGGAGAAAATAAGCCCTTAACATACCATCCTCCATGCAGAAAGCAAAGGGGCCCTGCCTGGGGACTGTCTCTCCATCCCCCTTCCCATAGAGCACAGGGAAGATGCACTGACCCCAACGTGGAGAAGACATGTTAGTCTGTGTTTGTTCATGTGGCAGGTGGCAGGAGCACTGGGCACAAATGCTGCCACATGGCAGATGCTGGCTGCAGGGAGCCAGCTCCTCACCAATATCCTTCTCTCCTTAGGGCTGCCCAAAATGAAATGTGCCAGGGGTTTTATGGGCTGCCCCTGCCAGCCACGGCATTTGGCCAGTCGCTGCAACTCAGCATGGGGGACATCGTGGAGCTGTGGAGACACGTTGCATGTCATTTCCTGCGTGTACACTCCCTCTGATTCCCACCACCCCATAACTACATCACTAGACCCATTGCCGGAGGGTGAACCACATACAGCGTAGAAATCAAACACATCAAGACCCTAAGGTCAGAGACCTTGTAATGCATCACAGAGAAGAAGGCATTCAAAGGACTCAAAGTAACGATTGCGCCAATCTCTCACCCACTGACTCAACTTCAGCTTCACTGCAAGATCTCCCGCCACTCCCCCTAGCGTAAGATCGGGCACTTGGATCACAGCAAGACAGTGTGGTATAGTTGCTAGAGCAGGACAGGCTAGCCGCCAGGACTTGGGCTCTGTTCTCAGCTCCAAAGGGGGGTGAGCTTGGAGGAGATTGCTGGTAGTCAGGACTCCTGGGTTCCATTTCTGGCTGGAGGGGCTGTGGAGATGGGGGAGAGGGGTTTAGTAGTTACTGTCTCTGGGATTCAAATGAAGACACAGGGATGAGATGTAGCCCCCTTCTCCATACTGGGCAACACCCGCTCAGGCTGTCATGTTCCAAGCTGGGGCGGGTTTCTCATCCATCTTCGCTCCAGGACAGAAGAGCTCCACACCCTCAGGACTTCTCACTGCTTCCTGTCTAGGTGGCGTTTTATCAGCAGAACTCCCTGAAAGACTGCTTCAAAACCCTTGACACCATACTGCAGCTCCCCTTCAAGGAGCCTGAGCAGAGGACCATCCCCAGACCTCCTGGTAGGGTGCTCAGGGGGTCTGTTTTGATGGGGGCAGGGAGACCTTGAGAGCCCCCTGGCATTGCAGGATCTCAGCCCCTGGGCGCTTGGAATGACTGAGCATGTGCAGCATGGAAATTTCCCCCAAAATATTTTTCTTGAGGGACAGTGGCTTTTCAACCCCAAGTTTGGCCCCTGTTCTAGTTTTTGTCAAATGTTCATAGTTCAGTGGGGTTTTCAACAAAAATGAGAAAATTTGGACAAATCCAGGAAAACTCTTATGAGGCCACTTCTCCTTTCTCAGCTGGAATTGTTCATCCGGGCCAGATGTGCCCATAAAGGGCTGGGGCAGCACTGGGTGGTCAGGGCTGTAGCCAGGCTGTAGGAGCCTTTTAAAACCCAGCACCCCAGTGTGACCTCGGCTCTGTGCTGGATCTGACAAAGGCTCCTCTGGAAAGAAGGTTTGGGGGGAGCGGGGTCGGATTTTCTGGGCTGCATCTTTGGTGCTGATGGGAGATGTCGCCGTATGGGGGAGCATGCGGCTGTGGCCTCCAGCTGCGGTTCCCTCCACCCTGGTCCCAGCTGGTATGTGAATTCTACCCTGGTAGGCTTGGGCAGTTAACTCTTTGTGGCCCAAGCCCATGGAATGCCAGGTGGGGAGAGCCAATCCTTCACCTTGCAGTCACTGCTTTCCACCATGTGGGGGATGACGAGCACTTCTCGGGGCCACTCACTTTCCGGAATCCCACCAGAGGGTGGATGTTCATTGGAGGGTGTCCAGTCCCAGCCCAGCTGTGTTTAGTGTGGGCCTTTCCTCGTGCAGCAGGAGGGCTGAAGTACTTTGGGTCAGCGAAGGCATGCTACAGTTTTTGCCCACAGGACTGGACAGAGCTGACACTCAAGGAAGGCAACATCATAAAGATCCCGAGCAAGAAGGGGCGGTAGGGCTGGTATAAAGGGGAGATCTGTGGCTGGGTGAGTGTACTGCGAAGGGGGAGTTGGGACCAGGGGTTTCACAGTCACCATATGCTCCACAGCAGGCTCACAGGGCCTGTCCACACGAGGGCAGTGTTACACACACACACCCAGAACCTGTTCTGACATATCCCATCCAGAAGGGGTCAGCTTTCTCCACACACACACATACTCTCTCCTTTCTCTGTCTCTCTCCCCACACGAGACTTTCTATACATACACATCACATGAGCAAAGTGACATTTTGCTTTGAGTTTTCTCTCCTCAGCCTCAAACAAAATGCTTAAAAATGCTGCCACGGGGCCAGAAAGGTCACTCCCCTTCTTGCCCTTCTCAGAGCTTCTGGCTCCCAGGCAGCCCATCTCAGAGGCTGGCATCACCATACCAGCTCTCTCCCCACACGAGACTTTCTATACATACACATCACATGAGCAAAGTGACATTTTGCTTTGAGTTTTCTCTCCTCAGCCTCAAACAAAATGCTTAAAAATGCTGCCACGGGGCCAGAAAGGTCACTCCCCTTCTTGCCCTTCTCAGAGCTTCTGGCTCCCAGGCAGCCCATCTCAGAGGCTGGCATCACCATACCAGGCAAACCTATCCATCATGGAGACCTCCTATTTCAAAGGTGCTCAGGCCCCTTAGCCCCCATTTTACAGATGGGGAAACTGAGTCACAGAGTGGCAAGGACCTGCCGAAGGTTACTCAGCAATGCCAGGAATACAGCCCAAGTGTCTGCTGGCATGAGGCTGTGGTTGAGCTCCGCACCCATCCTGCCCCTTGCGCAAGCTGTTTCCATTCCACTTCTCTTCCTGTGACCCAGGGGAAATGCTGCGCCTGTGACTAACTCAGCACATTTCTTAAGTGGGACGCTCCCTGTGTTGTCAGCTTCCCCAGTCACATGTGTGCTGGGAAGTTTCTTGCTCTAGCTCTGCTGACCTCTTGGTCCCCTCCTGGCCTGATCCTGGCTCTGCACACGGTCTTTACAGAATTGGTTCCCCCTTCCCCAGCAGAGAAAAACTGGGGTGTGACCTGCCTTCCAGGACTGAACCCAGTGGCTTCTCAGCTCCTTTCCCTGAGTCCCAACCACATGCTCACACCATTAGGTATTACTCTTCTCCTGAAACTGGGATGAGATCTCAGGCAGGGCCAGCACGAGGCACATGCAGTCGGTTCCCCTGCACATGGCCCTGTGCTTTATTATTGACCCTGCCATCTTGGGCAGCGTATCCTACCTGAGGCACATCCTGGAGCTGCAGACAGTACATGGCGGCTGCAGGGGCCCCCAGCCCGCAGGAGAAGAGGAGGAGGCTGCATCAGGTGCCTGTAGTGATTGCACCCCAGGTGGCCCTCCCTTCACTGTCAGCCCAGGATCTCTTTGTGTTGTTATTAGGGCAGCCGCTGCATCCTTACAAGGGCGGAATTGGAGCCCTGGACCCGCTCGGTGGCTGCTGGCGGCCGAGGACACAGTGCCCCATTTGAACAAGCCCCCCCAAATAATCACACCAGCCTGATCCCAGCCTCCCTCCCTGACTCAAGGCTGGAACTAAATGGAACGGCTCCCTTATAAGAACATGAGAACAGCCATGCTAGGTCATGTCAAAGGTCCATCTGGCTCAGTATCCTGTATGTCGACAGTGGCCAATGCCTGATACCCAAAAGGGATGAACACAATAGGGATGTTAAGTAGTGATTAATTTGCTAGTCAAGTAGTTGATGGAATTTCCATTGACTATTCAACTAGTCCTTAAGCACTTTTGCGTTTCACCTTTGAAATGTACAAGAACCTCAGCAGGGACTCTCGCTGACTCCGGGCTCCATGTGGGCACTTCCCTGCGGTTAGCAGGGGACTCAGAGTCCTGTGCTGGCCCCAGGCTCCACGCAGGCTCTTCCTCTTTGAAATGCTTAAGAACCCCTGCTGGGGACTCTTGTACATTTCAAAGCTGGCATGCCGCGTGGAGCCCGGGGTCAATAGGGGAGTGATACCAGTTTCTACATGAGGCTGTTGCTTTGAAATGCCGTGAGGAGCCCAGGGTCAGTGGGGGTGCCCAGCAGATCTTGGGCTCCACACAGCGCTGCCACTTTGAAATTCTGTGTGGAGCCCAGGGTCAACTGTGGAGTCCTGGGCTCTACTCGACATGTCAAAGCAGCAGTGCCTCAAGGAGCCCGGCTCCCCGTGACATTCTAAGCAGCAGTGCCACATGGAGCTACTGACTCCAGGCTCTGTGCAGTGCTGCCAATTTAAGTACCCACTCTTCTCCCCTCTCTTGCTTCCTCTATCTGATAAAGACAGCAGTGGGGGGGCTGTTGACTAATGCTTACGTCCCTAGAACACAACAGGTAATCATCAAGTGATCCCTCTCCTGTCATCCATTTCTGGACTCTGACAGTCAGAGGCTAGGGACACCATTCCTACCTATTCTTTATAATAAGTATGGCTGGACATAACCTCCATGAATTCATCTAGTTCTTTTTTGAACCTTGTTCAAGTCCTAGCCTTCACCACATCCTCTGGAAAGGAGTTCCACATGAAGAATAACTTCCTTTTTTTGTTTAAAAACTCCAAACTATTCATTTCATGTGTTGAAACCTAGTTCTTATGTTATGAGAACAAGTAAATAACTTTTCCCTAATTCACCTTCTCCATTCCTATCATGATTTTATGTTCCTCTATCATATCCCTCCTTCATCTCCTCTTTTCCAAGATGAAAAGTCCCAGTCTTTTTAATCTCAGTTCATATGGCATCTGTTCCAAATTCCTAACCATTTTTGTTGTCTTTTTCTGAACCTTTTCCAATGCCAATATACCTTTTTTGAGATGAGGCAACCACATCTGAACATAATATCCAAGGTATGGGCATACTATGCATTTATATAAAGGCAAGCTGATATTTTCTGTTTTATTCTCTAACCCTTTTCTAACTATTCCCAGCGTTCTGTTTGCTTTTTTGACTGCTGCTGCACTCTGAGTGGATGTTTTCAGAGAACTCTCCACAATCACTGCAAGATCTCTCTCTTGAGTGGTTACAACTAAATTAGTCTCCAGAAGTTTGTAGTTGGGATTATTTTTTCCAGCAAGCAATTTAGTATCTGTAAATTTTACCACCTCGCTCTTTATCCCTTTCTCCAGATCTATAAATAGGTTAAATAGGATCGGTCCCAGTATGGACCCTTGGAGGACCCCACTAGTTACCTCTCTCCACTCTGAAAACTTACCATTTATTCCTACTCTTTGTTGCTGTCTTTTAACCAGTTATCAGTCCATCAAAAGACCTTTCCTCTTATCCCATGTTGTTGTTGGTTGTCTCTCAGGAGCTGAGGAAGACATGTTGTGGATTTCATTTGTGGAAGCGCATATGGCTCCAGAGCCCAAAGGTCGAAGCACACATGCGGTTACAGATTGGGCATGGGATGCTGGTTGTCAGGACAGGCGAGAACGCAGTGCTATGTCGTCTTTCACGTGCAGCTGTGAGGCGTTGGCGGCGGTCGTCCTCAAACTTAGTCTCCCAGTCAGTATGGGGATAGTTGAAATCCCCCACTATTATTATTTTTTTAATAGCCTCTTTTATCTCCCTTAGCATTTCATAATCACTGTCATGGTCAGGTGGTTGATAAAATAATATATCAGTAGGGATATATTATTGGAGCACTGAATTATTATCCATAGAGATTCTATGGAACATGTTGGTTTATTTAAGATTTTTACTTCATTTAATTCTACATTTTCTTTCATGTATAATGCCATTCCCCCACCAGCACGACCTGTTCTGTCCTTCCAATATATGACGGTGTCCCATTGATTGTCCTCATTCTATGAAGTTTCTGTGATGCCTATTATATCAATATCCTCCTTAAATACAAGGCATTCTAGTTTACCCATCATATTTTTAGATTTTTTGTGTAAGTGTGTCTGTGTATAAGAACTTGAAAAATTTGTCACTGTTTAGCTGTCTACCATTTCCTGCTATGTTTGAATGGCACTCATTTTCATTTAACCCTTTCTTACCATATTTTATCATTTTCCACCATCTCCTCCTTACTAGGACATAGAGAATTCTATTAATAGATTCTTCCTAAGAGATGTCTCTGTTTGATACATGTGCTCCTCCTCAGGCATCGGCTTTCCCCCAAGCCCTCAGCTATGTCCCTCGGAACAGAAGCATTTGGATTCTGCTGAACTTTTGTGTGGGGCTAAAAAAGAGGAGCGTTCCAACAGTGTCTTGTTTTTAACCTGTTTGGAGCCAAACTGTTTGAATTTTCCTTTCCAAATTGACTTTTCTTCTGACATTTGCATTTTGTGTGGCAGGGTGTGGTGTCATACAAGATCATATTCTCAAAGCAGCAAGTGAGATGGAAGATCAGTGTTGAAAGGCAACATTTTGCTTGACCTCAAATTATTTTTATTTTCCATCTGAATTTTTTTCCAAATAATTTTGAAAGTTTTGTGTTTCATTCCTCACTGGAATGAAAACACATTTTAAATCATGAAGTCCTCTATCAAATGGCAGTTTTCTTCCTGACATTGAATTTTGATGCCTACTATCTAGTCACTAGATAATGCTACCCAGGTGTTCCAATTTCCATTTTCTGCTCTACCCATTAGATCACGCACCCCCTCTCAAGCTAGGATGAGACCCAGGAGTCCTGTCTCCTAGGGCCATACAAGACGTGTCCCCCCCCAGACACACACCTCACTTTCATTTCCTAAATAGAAAAGACTGCAACTTCCTGTATTGTTTCCTGTTAATTGCAGGGCTGCTATTTGGGGACACTGATAGGATAATAAATATGTATTAGATGTTTAGAGATCACCCTGGGCAGAAGGAACAGGTCTGTTGCAAGAGGAACAGCACTGAGCTGAAACACCATAATAAAGAAGCAGCAGAAAAAACTGTGTCACTCAGCAAACTTCCTCTGCTAAATGAGAACAGGATAAAGTCAGTGCAGTTTCCTTGCCTGGCAGGAGAAGGCAGCAGCCACGATGAGGATGCGGTTTATCACCCCCCTTGTAGGTAAGTTTGCAAGGAATTGGGTTATTTTCCTTCATTGGGGGCTTGAGAAAAACCCACCTTAACTGGAGGCCTGTGAGGGCGGGGACTGCTTTTTGTGCTGATCGTTCAGTGGGTCCTACTTATGCCAAGACAGGCGGGAACCTGCCCCAATGCTAGCAGCGTTGAGGCAGCGGATGGGGGGTGTTTGTGTCTCAGGCATGGAACAGTCAAGCTGTGTAGGAAGTGGCAACAAGAAAAAGGGGGAGACTCGGAGGAATGGACGGCCAGTGTTGGCCCCCTACTGAAACTCAGTGGGGGGTTGGGCTGACTGGCCCACGTACCAAAAGGAGGGGGAAGGGTCCATGAGAAATCAGAATGCTGAGACTGACAGTCCCCAGGAGCAATGAAGATAGAACAACACTCCTGGTCAGCCTGTTTGGCAGGCTGGGCAGGCTAATGAGGGGGTCAGGACACCAGGGGTCTGTCTTGTCCACTGGGTGAGCTGAATTTGCCTGGATCTCACAGAGTGGAGCCAAGCTCTGGAGAGAGCAGAGGCCTGAGTAGGGGAGGAGGAGCAGAGCCAGGCCAACCAGAAAGATCCAGAGAAGCATACCAGGGTGCAGCTCAGTGTTGGGCAGAGCTGCAGACAGCACCGAGAGCAGTTCCCTGCTGGGAACAGAACTGCAGCCACAGAGCCAGAGAGGTCAGAGAAGCAGCCCCGGGGTTGGAGGCAACGCAGCAGAGAGTGGAGCTGGGGGGGCTGGAGCAGTCAAGAGCTGGGAGCAGGGAGCAACTGCAGAGAGGAATGGGGGCTCTGGGCAGAGGTCCTAGCCCAGGAAGGCTCCTCCAAATAGCCCCACAGGGCAAACAAGGTGGGGGCGGATCATAACCTGGATTGGGGGCTGTTGCTGGGGAGAAGGGCCCTGACTCCCAGAGTCTGAAGTCACAGCCAGGGCCTGGTCAGCAGACCTGGGACGTGTGAGGAGCAGCCTGTGAACTGCCCTGACACTCCCTCGAGAGCAGGGAGCAATTTCAGAGAGGAATGGGGGCTCTGGGCAGAGGTCCAAGCCCAGGAAGGCTCCTCCAGCCAAGCAGCCCCACAGGCCAAATGAGGGGGGCGGATCATAATCTGTATTGGGGGCTGTTGCTGCAGAAAAGTGCCCTGCTCCCCAGAGCCTGAAGTCACAGCTAGGGCCTGGGCAGGAGTCCTGGGACATTTGAGGAGCAGCATGTGAACTGCCCTGACACTCCAGAGGAGCTGGGTATGATGTCCCCTGCCACAGAGCAGGGTGGCCTGTTTTCCTCTCACTTTCCCGGTTTTTATTTTTAAAAATTGCTGGGTGTGTTTGCTGTGAGCTATCAGTGATGAGCAGGGGGTAGGGAAGAGTCCAGTACAGAGAGAGGACCCCAGAATGGGGACACCCAGCCCCTGCCCTAAATGACCTCAAGGTTGGGGGTTGAGCTCCCCAGGAGTCCTGGGCTCAGCCTAGTTGTGGTTGAGGGGCTCTGCCACACAGAGGAATGGAAGAGGAGCCCTCCAGCTCTGGGTAAAGGAAGTGGGAGCGGGGCCTCAGAGCCTTTCTCTAGCCCATGTCACAGGTGGGGTTGTGTAGAAACCAGGGATGTTCCCCTCAGTAGCAGAACCATCCCCTGCGTGCAGGAAGAAAGCCAAAGAGGAGCCTTTAGGAAGGTCACAGGGCTGCGGCGGATGCTCCCCCAGCAGTGCAAAGAGCTCCAGGGCCGACAGGGGAAAGAGATGGGCCACCTGGGATGCCCTCACTGCTAGACCCGTGGAAGCCTCCTCCTCTTCTCCCGTGGTCTGGGGGCCCCACTGGGTGGGAGGGCTACAGCTGCCTTGTTTAGGTGGGGCCACTGAACTGTTTGAATGACCCTGGAAGATGTTGCCAAAATGCTTTTGGGTCTGGTGCTGGTGAAAGGGGCTTGGGACTATAAGCAAAGAAGCTCTACCCAGGTTTTGGTCCCTCCTGCATTTGGAGAGGCAGGATTGTAACTAAACCCAAACCATCATTTTGTGCTCCCGAAAAGGGCAACCACAATTGCAACTGTGTTGGGCTCTTTGAGGGGTCGTGATATGAAATCAGCCCAGATCATAAACTTCTCACATAAGTGCTGATCTGATGAGTGATCTGGACAGATTGAGTCATTAGCCAGACATTTTGCAGAAGCCACACAGATTGGGGAAGAAGTCATAAGGGACAGGGCAGAGTATTGAGACAGATCTGAATCCCTAGGAAGGGAATCATACAATATGCATTTCAGTGGGACCTCTGGATGTACATTTAGGAATATAGACTGTTGGCCGCACTCACAGCATGGGGGGCTTAAAAAAGACATGGGAGTTTGGCTCATTCTATGAGCCCCTTCGCAGGAGAGAAGTTCTCAGCTATGTGGGCATCAAGCGATCTCCAAAAGCCATGCTCGTTAGCCACCTCCTACCAACTTGAGGCTCAGGGGGCTTGGAAACACTCGGGGCAAACCCCTCTGGAGCTGGGAAGGCAACTGGAAAGCTCAGACAACTGCTGGCAGCACCTCCGGACCAAGGACTGCGTGGAGCCTCTCTTTGCCCCACTCACAGCTACAGCGGCTCACAGTGCCATCTGAGTTCCAAAGAAAGGGGCCAAAGTGGGTGGGATCAAAGGGCCATGCCGGGCCCAGTGTGGGCCGGATGCTCTGTACATGCAGCCCAGCCCACAAGGCGGTTTCCCTTTGGGAATCGAGGGTGCTGGAGGTTTCAGGCTAGGAAATGGTTTCAGGAGGTTTCAGGCTTGGTGGTGCGGCTGCCTGCAGTGGTCACCCTGCATATTGCTCTCCCCCGTGTTCGCTTCCTCCACTGGCCATTCTCAGTATAATGCCCCTCCTTACTCTGCTCCTTCCTTTCCATGTTATGGAAAACAGTCTCATTCCAGGCACTTGCGGTTGTCCTGGCTCAACCAAACACTGACCTTGTTTTAAGTTAAGACAAGAGGATGCTGCTTATCAAATTCAGTGGTCCTAGCTCTTACCGGTTAGGGGAAGTTAATGATTAAACAGAGTCACAGACAGATAGGTGCACAAATCTCTAATATACAGACTAGAAGATTTATCTGGCATTGTCTTGCTCCTTCAGATTAAGGATGTAAATCCCATTTAATTAGTTAACTGTTTAAACACTAACTGATTATATGGGCATGCTGCCCTGACATTCCTGGCTCTGCTGCTGCTACTCAGCCCAGAGGTGACACACAGGGCCCCTTGCTCAACAAAAGCTACCATGGTCTCTGAACCCAGCTGCGTGGACACAGAGTCTGCTCTGGAGAGCATCTAATCAGATTGGAGAAGCCAGCCCCAGGGGACACAGACTGGGGGGGCTGTGATTTGGCTGCACTCCACCAGCATAGCCAGGAATAAACCCCCCATCTCCCGGGGCCTTGCCTAACACTGCCCACTAGTCCACACAGCCTCTGAAGAGTAAATACAATAAAGTCCAGTGCCACAGGAACATCCTAACTGTCAGGGGGTATGTCTACACTACAGAGTTAGTTCGAACTAACTTAGTTCGAATTAGTTAATTCGAACTAAGCTAATTCGAACTAATGCGTCTAGAACTAAAAACTAGTTCGAATTAGCGTTTTGCTAATTCGAACTACCCTTCCTGTTGTAGTATTCTATGATTCTATCCTTGTTTGTTTCTGCTCTTTCAGGATTTTGCTGGTTCATCTGCTTCAAGGAGACTCATTTCTCCAGTGCTGGTAAGTTAATGCCTGGAAAGCTGGGCAAAATCTCCAGATCTGAACCCCCCCACCCATCCCCCGTATGTCCTGTAGCTGGAAGGGGCTTTGAACAGGCAAAGAACTTTCCATCCCATTTCCTCCTGTCCTTTCCCTGCATTTTCCTCTTTCTGATTTTTGTCTTTTAATTCTATAATCAATGAGGTTCCTTCTGCATTTCTAACTGAACAGGTGCAACAAGCCATTGTTAGGCCCAGATCACACAAGGTGTACCCATGAGGGATGTGCCAGGTCCATTCATACCCAACATTATTCCATGCCCCCGTTGGAGCGCATCCCATACTTTGGGGAACCCTGTGCTAAAGATTGCAAGTCAAGCACTCCGAAGTTAGGAATCCAAGTGTTCTCTGCCCCCATGTGTGTTATGCCCCAGGCATGGAACATGGGCATGACAGCCCCTCTCTTCAGGAGATTCAGTTCACAGGATCACCACCTGCAGCACCCATCCTCAGTTCCTACCCTCCCCGCAGACTTTTCATTTCATACTGCAGGGGAGGGGCCTGCAGAGCTTTTCTGGCTTTCTCACCTGATGCCTCCAGCTGAGGGTCCAGCTGCCTTGATCCGACCTCCCCAAGCACCTATTCTGCCAGGTCCTCGCTTGGGGCAGGCGGGTAGGGCCAAAGAGCGAGTGTGAAGCCCATTGAAGATGTGCAAGGGGGTGAAGGTGCAAAGGGAAATTAATTATTTTATTTTAATCAAATCCTTCCTCCTTGATTTCCCAGACAAAGCGTGTGAAAAGTCGACCATCTGTCCTAGTTATGCAATCTGTGAAGTCATCTCTGGGGGCTATCGCTGTGCCTGCAAACGTGGGTCTGTGTCTAGCACTGGGGAGCGGTATTTCACTGATAAAAGTGTGACGTGCCAGGGTGAGTGTGAGTTCCTGAGCCCAGCTGGGGGAGGGGAGCTGTTCTGTTGCTGGCATCAGTGTCCCGGGGAGGGGTCTTCCACTTGGTCTGTATCGAGGACATTGCTGACTGAAAAGGGGGATGCAGGAATGAAGAAATCAAGGAAGGGATAGATGTGGCCAAGCAAATTTATTGACTCGGCTTCACCCGCAGGTCAATCTGTTATTTTCTGACCGGAGACAGCGAATAAAATGGAAAAACTGCAGTGCAGTCTGCACACAGCCTTGGGGCTGGGCAGCGTGGGATGGGGTTGGGGACTCAATTCCATGTCAATGCTGCATCCTTCCCTCCTCCAATTGTCCAGACAGCACCATTAGCAAATGCAGAGGGGAGGAACATACTGTGACCCCGCCTCCTTTGCACCTAATTTTGAGACACCAGGAAGAATATGAAGAAAAGTTTGACCCTCAAAGAAGGTGGGGGAGGCTTTCCCTGTACGTTTCCTCTTCTTCTGCACCTGTGTCAGAGCCAGTCACAATCCAGCTCCTAAAATGAGTAAAAGGAAACTTTTTTTTGCCTGAAACATCATTAGCTTGTGGAAGTCCCTGCCTCAGGAGCTCATAGAGGCTGCCAATTAATCATGATTTGAAGAAGGATTAGGCTTTGATACAAGTAGCAAGAACATCTGACATGATCTTCCAAAGCATCTAGTGCCAACTGCTGATAAAAGCAGGATTTTGTGCTAGGGGGCTGCTGGTCTTACCCAGTCTGGCCATCCCTGTGTTCCTAAATTACAGATGTTTTTAGACCTGAATAGTAAATGCTCCATTTATGATATTTATAGACTAACCCATGATCCATGGGATTTATTAGTTGGCTTCAAATGTAACAGCCTCTGTCTTGGCTGGTAACCAAGGATATTGAGTAGGCTGCATGAGTGACCCTCCTTCATCTCAGAGGGCTGGAGCAGCCTATTGCCTCCTGAAATTCCACCTGCGGCCTCCTGGTCCCCCCCCCCTCACACCTCTCACATACTGAGACACCAGAGCGCCACACTTACCTGCTCTTCCCTCTCCCCAGGACTGGAAGGCCATAAACAGTTGATGTGAGTTTTCCAGCCCGGTGCACCAATCCGGGAGAGACACGTGGAGGAGAAGGGAAGATAGGGGGTCCGTAGGCAGGCTGCAGGCAGTGTCCTCCTGCACATTGGCCCATAGGGGGACCCGTAATTCCCACCCACTGGGGGTCACACAAGCACCTTCCTGGGCCTCTGCATGACTGGTTCTGTTTGCTCCTGTCCAGATATCGATGAATGTGCCCAGGACCCTACACGCTGCGGCCCGAATGCCTCCTGCAGTAACACTGACAAAAGTTTTGTCTGTGAGTGTGTGTCTGGCTACAGGTCTTCCAGAAGAGTCTCAGGGAAGCGTGGCATCGCCCCTCTGGACTGCTCAGGTGAGAGGCAGTGGGAAGCCTGAAGGCGTTGTCCCGATGGGTCTCTCCTGCCCCAAGACAGTCATGGAGGCACTCCCAGCGCACACCAGCCCCTCGGCCCGGCTCTGTGTCTGGCTCCCTGCTGAAAACAGTGCAGCATTTGCTCTCAGGGATGCCCATGGCCGGGCACCAAAGCCCTTTGCTGCTTATTGCCCCGTGCACAACACACGCTGGGGTGGCTTGTACGGGTCTGGATCCTCCCCTAGCGTGAAGGGCGCAGAGTCACTGGGGCCAGGGCCCTGGTGCTGCTGCTCTATTGACTCTTCAGAAACAACAGCGATTTGCCATCAGCCGAGCCGGGACCAAGGCTTTGCCCTGCTCTGATACACCCGGCTGGGCTGGCACAGGGATGGAGGGAGGGTGGGGGTAGCATAAGGAATGAACTAAAGCTTGTGATGGACATGGGAAATCCCTGCAACAGGGTGCAGCAGGCACACCAATGGGGATGGAGTGTGGATGGAGACCCATGGTGGAGAGGTGTTGAGAAACAGCTGAGCAGCCTCCACTCCCATTGGTTACAGGGGAGGGGCCGGGGCCCTGCCTCTAAGCACGTGGCCCTACAATAATGAGCAAGGAGATCTGGGAGAGAAAATTGTCTCCATGTCACAACAGGGGAAACTGAGGCATCAGATGGGGAAAAGACTTGACCAAAGTCGCACAGAATCTGTGCAAGAGCTAAGAGTGGAACCCAGAAGCCCCGACCCCCCCTCCCCTTTTGTTTTTAAGTACTAGACCTCACTCATCTCCTGAAGTGCAGGATAGTAGGCAGCAGTCCTGCCTGTGTGCCATCCTGCTAGGACCAGGGCACAACCTTCCTATCCCACCGACAGCAATAGAACCCAGGTGTCCAGATTCCCTCTTCCCCCAACCCCTGGCTCCTTCCTGTGCCAGCTCCCAACCCTCCCTCTCCTCTCAGCGCTGAGAAGGGAACCCAGGCATCCTGGTTCCCACTTTCCAGGCCACTAGCCCTGCTGCCTCTTGGGGATGGGCAGCACACTGCAAACCTTCTGGGAACCATATTCCTGGCACGGTGCCCTCTCTGATGGCAGCTGCTGGCCCTGCCTTCTCCCCTGCCCCCATCCTCCCACCAAGCTAAGCCCCTCTTGTGCACTGCTGGGCTCATCTGAATTCAGAAGAGTGCCCTGAGGACGCCACTTGCACGAACATCCCATGAGGCCACTGTGGCATGAACCCGCAAGCCCTGGGGAGCAGCGCATCACTGACTTAGCAGAGTAGTGCCATGGTGAGAGCCAGTTCAGGCATGGAGCAGAGTGACCAATGCCAATGGTCTCTGGGGCTGATGGAAAGATTCCTACTGGATCCAATGGGGTTTGGGTCAGTGTGAGGGGCCTGAGGCAGTAGAACACTGGTGTCTTAGGGTCACACATGGTCAGTTTGGATTCTGCTCCCCCAGATATTGACGAATGTTCCCAGGACCCATCGCCCTGTGGCCCCAACTCCATCTGCATCAACATGCCAGGCAGTTACACCTGCACATGCCAACCAGGCTACCTCCCACCCAGCCAGCTTGACTCTCCCTTTAGCTGCACAGGTAAGCATCTGACACGGGGGATGTTTGTGAGACGCTGTGTGAGAGAAGCTAATGCCTGCTGACCAGGTCACCCGCAGTCGACAGCTAGGTTCTGAGCGGCTCTGCCGGCCCACCCTGGATTCTGACTCTCCAAAGCTCTGACAGCTGCAGAGATTTGAGGGGGATGGTAGTGGGGGCTCCTTCCCACCCCACAGGAAGAGCTACAGGAACAGCTGCCTTGCAGCTCTCTTCCTCCGGCACTTTTCTCGTTGAACCCCACCTCCCCTTTGGCCAAGGAGACTCAAATTCTCCGGTGGAGCCTCATTCCCTGCATTAGAGCCAGAACAGACACTGGACTGGTGTCATTAGACACTGAACTCCATGGCTGGTGGTCGGCACAGCATCCCTATACTTATATGTAATACTCTGTGGGTGGGAGTCGAACCTGGGGCCTTCGGGCCTGGCATTGTGATGGTTGTGACATGGTTTAAATGCATGGTTTTGGCTTTTTGCTTCAAAATGAGGTTTCTTTGGGAAATTTAAACCAACCACCCAACCAACCACAACTGAAATTTGAAATTTAAACCAACCAACCACAACTGAAAAGAAATGGGAAACCGAAACTCACTTCGGGTGGAAGAGTCAATTCCAGATGAACCATTTGGGGTGTTTGTTTCAGTGAGAAAAGCCCCACAAAATCCAACTTGGGGTGCTCAGGGACAATTTCCTCCTGGCTATTTTTAGCCTGGTTTGGCCCCTGCACTGAAAACATTCAGGATTTGCTCTGCTTTTCCCTGGCCACTGAAGTGTTGATGATCCAAGACGCCAAACCCTGTGTCCCACTGTCCCTGCTGCCTGAGCTAACGGGCTGAATCTGTTACTGGGAGGCACCATGAGACCAAAAACCTCTATGCCTGGACCAGGCCCCTCAGTCCAGCCCTAAGAAGGCGTGTGGATGTGTTCCTGTGTGGCTGTGACAGGGGGGATGTCTGCAGGGCAGCAGAAAGGTGCGAAGCCCAGCTCAAGCAGACACTCCCTTGGTGGAGCAAGGGAGCGGATGGGCCAGTATCATAGAACTGCCTGTCCCAGATCCCAGGTGTGTGCTGGGGCAGCAGCCTGAGTTGCACAGTGGCTGCGCTGCTATGTAGCCCAGACAGAGCTGGTGAGCATGTGTCTGCCCAGGCTGGGAATTGCAGCTGTAGCTGCAGTGCCGACAAGGCCCTAGGCTGGGGTAAGGCAGTGCCGCAGATATCTGTGGTGCTCTATGAATGAACACCAGCACCCAGGGGCGGCCCGTGGACCTAGGCAAACTAGGCTGTTGCTTAGCGCGCAGCAGGCCTGGGCGCCTGATGATGACGTCACAGGGCACCGGGGCGCCCCGTGATTACATCACAGCCATTGACGGCCATGCAAGTGGGGGCGCAAATTGCACCTTCTGCCTAGGGCACCAGCTGCCGCAGCTGGCCTCAGGCCACTCCTGCGAGGTGCTGAGTGACAGTGGAAGAAACTCCACTCCCATTGGTTGCAGGGGGAGCTGGCGGGGCTTCACCCCTCAGGGTGTGGCCCTACAATAATAGAAAATCAGATCTGGAAAACAGGATTTTCTCCCTGCACATCTGGGTAACTGAGGCTTCTGGAAGGGAAAGGACATGGCAAAGGTTACGTGTGGAGTTTGTGGCAGAGCTTGGGACAGAACCCAGGAATCCTGACTTCACAGTCCCCTGCTTTCATGTCTAGATCCCAGGTGTCCTGGAATCCACTTCCCAGGCCACTAGCACTGTTGCCTCTGAGAGGGGGCAGCATATTGCAAACCTGCTGGGAGTCATATTCCTGACACAGTGCTCCTCTGAAACCAGATGCTGGTGCTACCTTCTCTCTCCCCATCCCCTTGTCAAGAGAGGTTGTGCAGAGCTGGGCCCGTCTGTATTACGTGTTGTGCCTTGAGGATGCCACCTGCACAAACACCCAAGGGGGCCACTGCTGCCTCTGCAAGCTCGGCTTTGCATCCAGTTCTGGGGAGCAGCACGTCAGTTCAGGCACAGGGCAGAGTGACTGAGGCAAAAGGCCCCTGGGGCTGAAGGAAAGATTCCCACTGGATCCAATGGGTGTGGGTCAGTGTGAGGGGCCCGTGGCAGTAGAACACTGGTGTGCTAGTGTCACACGTGGCTAACCTGGATTCTTCCTTATCTAGATATTGACGAATGTTCCCGAGACCCATCGCCCTGTGGCCCCAACTCCATCTGCACCAACACACCGGGCAGTTACACCTGCACGTGCCGAGAAGGCTACTTCCCTCCTAGCCTGTCTGGTGCCCCCTTCAGCTGCAAAGGTAAGTGTCTGATGTGGGGTACAGGGAATCTCTGGGTGTAAGAGGCTATTGCTGGTTCTCTTGTGGTTCCCATGCAAGAGCAGCTCTGCCTGCCCCCCCGCACCTCTTCCTACTTGCACCTGAACACTAGGTGCTATGCCTGCAGCGATTTCATGAGGGTCCTTCCCACCCAGCCTGACTAGTTAAAGGATCCACTGCCACGCAGCTCACTTCCTCCCATCCTCTGCTCACTAAACCCCACAGCCCCTGTGTGCATGGACACCTCCATCTTCCCATGGATCTGGGGAGAGACAACTAGATTGTATTCCTGCTCATGTGGGGAAACTGAGCCCTCTAGAAGGGAAAAAATTTGGTAAAGGTCACATGGGGAGTCTGTGGCAGAGCTGGGGACACAACTCAGGAGTCCTGACTCCCCAATCCCCCTGCCAGCCCTTAATCCTTCTCCCTCCTTTTGCCTTGTAAGCCAGGGTTCCTTCATGCTCCTCCTCCCCCCCTTTTCCCCACCAGCCCGGGCCCTTTCTCTCCCCGCAACCACTCACCCCCTCTCTCCCAGGAAGAGTGTACACTAAGCCTGGGTCTAATCCCGGCGTAGGGGTGCTTTCCCGCCCTGTGTAGGGCACAGTTGGGCGATATAGGGCAGGGCGAGCGGGGCGACTGCCCCGGGGCCCTGCGCTTCAAGAAGCCACACGCATCTGCCGTGGCAAAGGGGGGCCCCATGAAATTGTGCTGCCCTGGGCCCCATGGAATGGTCATCTGCCACCGGGCACAGTGAGGTGCAGGTAGTGCCGTGTGCATGCTGCGCTCCAGGATATTACAGCCTGCTAATATGGAGAAAGCAGCAGTGTGGGACTGTGGTATGGTCCCGCTTGCACTGCTCACTGCCCCAGCCCTACCTGCAGAGCCCAGGGCTGCCGTCTTAGCTTTGTTTAAAACAGCAATTCCTAGTGTGGAGGGGCACCAGCAAGGTTGAGCTCGAGCTGAGAGAGGGGAGAGGTAAGAGCGAGAGAGAGGGGGAAGGCCGGCAGAACTCTGTCATCCCCCAGAGAAACTTTCTTTAATATATATAAAGATAAATATTCTGCTAAGCGGTATGGTGAGCTGGAAGTGTTTTTACACGCTGCGGCCCGAATGCCTCCTGCAGTAACACTGACAAAAGTTTTGTCTGTGAGTGTGTGTCTGGCTACAGGTCTTCCAGAAGAGTCTCAGGGAAGCGTGGCATCGCCCCTCTGGACTGCTCAGGTGAGAGGCAGTGGGAAGCCTGAAGGCGTTGTCCCGATGGGTCTCTCCTGCCCCAAGACAGTCATGGAGGCACTCCCAGCGCACACCAGCCCCTCGGCCCGGCTCTGTGTCTGGCTCCCTGCTGAAAACAGTGCAGCATTTGCTCTCAGGGATGCCCATGGCCGGGCACCAAAGCCCTTTGCTGCTTATTGCCCCGTGCACAACACACGCTGGGGTGGCTTGTACGGGTCTGGATCCTCCCCTAGCGTGAAGGGCGCAGAGTCACTGGGGCCAGGGCCCTGGTGCTGCTGCTCTATTGACTCTTCAGAAACAACAGCGATTTGCCATCAGCCGAGCCGGGACCAAGGCTTTGCCCTGCTCTGATACACCCGGCTGGGCTGGCACAGGGATGGAGGGAGGGTGGGGGTAGCATAAGGAATGAACTAAAGCTTGTGATGGACATGGGAAATCCCTGCAACAGGGTGCAGCAGGCACACCAATGGGGATGGAGTGTGGATGGAGACCCATGGTGGAGAGGTGTTGAGAAACAGCTGAGCAGCCTCCACTCCCATTGGTTACAGGGGAGGGGCCGGGGCCCTGCCTCTAAGCACGTGGCCCTACAATAATGAGCAAGGAGATCTGGGAGAGAAAATTGTCTCCATGTCACAACAGGGGAAACTGAGGCATCAGATGGGGAAAAGACTTGACCAAAGTCGCACAGAATCTGTGCAAGAGCTAAGAGTGGAACCCAGAAGCCCCGACCCCCCCTCCCCTTTTGTTTTTAAGTACTAGACCTCACTCATCTCCTGAAGTGCAGGATAGTAGGCAGCAGTCCTGCCTGTGTGCCATCCTGCTAGGACCAGGGCACAACCTTCCTATCCCACCGACAGCAATAGAACCCAGGTGTCCAGATTCCCTCTTCCCCCAACCCCTGGCTCCTTCCTGTGCCAGCTCCCAACCCTCCCTCTCCTCTCAGCGCTGAGAAGGGAACCCAGGCATCCTGGTTCCCACTTTCCAGGCCACTAGCCCTGCTGCCTCTTGGGGATGGGCAGCACACTGCAAACCTTCTGGGAACCATATTCCTGGCACGGTGCCCTCTCTGATGGCAGCTGCTGGCCCTGCCTTCTCCCCTGCCCCCATCCTCCCACCAAGCTAAGCCCCTCTTGTGCACTGCTGGGCTCATCTGAATTCAGAAGAGTGCCCTGAGGACGCCACTTGCACGAACATCCCATGAGGCCACTGTGGCATGAACCCGCAAGCCCTGGGGAGCAGCGCATCACTGACTTAGCAGAGTAGTGCCATGGTGAGAGCCAGTTCAGGCATGGAGCAGAGTGACCAATGCCAATGGTCTCTGGGGCTGATGGAAAGATTCCTACTGGATCCAATGGGGTTTGGGTCAGTGTGAGGGGCCTGAGGCAGTAGAACACTGGTGTCTTAGGGTCACACATGGTCAGTTTGGATTCTGCTCCCCCAGATATTGACGAATGTTCCCAGGACCCATCGCCCTGTGGCCCCAACTCCATCTGCATCAACATGCCAGGCAGTTACACCTGCACATGCCAACCAGGCTACCTCCCACCCAGCCAGCTTGACTCTCCCTTTAGCTGCACAGGTAAGCATCTGACACGGGGGATGTTTGTGAGACGCTGTGTGAGAGAAGCTAATGCCTGCTGACCAGGTCACCCGCAGTCGACAGCTAGGTTCTGAGCGGCTCTGCCGGCCCACCCTGGATTCTGACTCTCCAAAGCTCTGACAGCTGCAGAGATTTGAGGGGGATGGTAGTGGGGGCTCCTTCCCACCCCACAGGAAGAGCTACAGGAACAGCTGCCTTGCAGCTCTCTTCCTCCGGCACTTTTCTCGTTGAACCCCACCTCCCCTTTGGCCAAGGAGACTCAAATTCTCCGGTGGAGCCTCATTCCCTGCATTAGAGCCAGAACAGACACTGGACTGGTGTCATTAGACACTGAACTCCATGGCTGGTGGTCGGCACAGCATCCCTATACTTATATGTAATACTCTGTGGGTGGGAGTCGAACCTGGGGCCTTCGGGCCTGGCATTGTGATGGTTGTGACATGGTTTAAATGCATGGTTTTGGCTTTTTGCTTCAAAATGAGGTTTCTTTGGGAAATTTAAACCAACCACCCAACCAACCACAACTGAAATTTGAAATTTAAACCAACCAACCACAACTGAAAAGAAATGGGAAACCGAAACTCACTTCGGGTGGAAGAGTCAATTCCAGATGAACCATTTGGGGTGTTTGTTTCAGTGAGAAAAGCCCCACAAAATCCAACTTGGGGTGCTCAGGGACAATTTCCTCCTGGCTATTTTTAGCCTGGTTTGGCCCCTGCACTGAAAACATTCAGGATTTGCTCTGCTTTTCCCTGGCCACTGAAGTGTTGATGATCCAAGACGCCAAACCCTGTGTCCCACTGTCCCTGCTGCCTGAGCTAACGGGCTGAATCTGTTACTGGGAGGCACCATGAGACCAAAAACCTCTATGCCTGGACCAGGCCCCTCAGTCCAGCCCTAAGAAGGCGTGTGGATGTGTTCCTGTGTGGCTGTGACAGGGGGGATGTCTGCAGGGCAGCAGAAAGGTGCGAAGCCCAGCTCAAGCAGACACTCCCTTGGTGGAGCAAGGGAGCGGATGGGCCAGTATCATAGAACTGCCTGTCCCAGATCCCAGGTGTGTGCTGGGGCAGCAGCCTGAGTTGCACAGTGGCTGCGCTGCTATGTAGCCCAGACAGAGCTGGTGAGCATGTGTCTGCCCAGGCTGGGAATTGCAGCTGTAGCTGCAGTGCCGACAAGGCCCTAGGCTGGGGTAAGGCAGTGCCGCAGATATCTGTGGTGCTCTATGAATGAACACCAGCACCCAGGGGCGGCCCGTGGACCTAGGCAAACTAGGCTGTTGCTTAGCGCGCAGCAGGCCTGGGCGCCTGATGATGACGTCACAGGGCACCGGGGCGCCCCGTGATTACATCACAGCCATTGACGGCCATGCAAGTGGGGGCGCAAATTGCACCTTCTGCCTAGGGCACCAGCTGCCGCAGCTGGCCTCAGGCCACTCCTGCGAGGTGCTGAGTGACAGTGGAAGAAACTCCACTCCCATTGGTTGCAGGGGGAGCTGGCGGGGCTTCACCCCTCAGGGTGTGGCCCTACAATAATAGAAAATCAGATCTGGAAAACAGGATTTTCTCCCTGCACATCTGGGTAACTGAGGCTTCTGGAAGGGAAAGGACATGGCAAAGGTTACGTGTGGAGTTTGTGGCAGAGCTTGGGACAGAACCCAGGAATCCTGACTTCACAGTCCCCTGCTTTCATGTCTAGATCCCAGGTGTCCTGGAATCCACTTCCCAGGCCACTAGCACTGTTGCCTCTGAGAGGGGGCAGCATATTGCAAACCTGCTGGGAGTCATATTCCTGACACAGTGCTCCTCTGAAACCAGATGCTGGTGCTACCTTCTCTCTCCCCATCCCCTTGTCAAGAGAGGTTGTGCAGAGCTGGGCCCGTCTGTATTACGTGTTGTGCCTTGAGGATGCCACCTGCACAAACACCCAAGGGGGCCACTGCTGCCTCTGCAAGCTCGGCTTTGCATCCAGTTCTGGGGAGCAGCACGTCAGTTCAGGCACAGGGCAGAGTGACTGAGGCAAAAGGCCCCTGGGGCTGAAGGAAAGATTCCCACTGGATCCAATGGGTGTGGGTCAGTGTGAGGGGCCCGTGGCAGTAGAACACTGGTGTGCTAGTGTCACACGTGGCTAACCTGGATTCTTCCTTATCTAGATATTGACGAATGTTCCCGAGACCCATCGCCCTGTGGCCCCAACTCCATCTGCACCAACACACCGGGCAGTTACACCTGCACGTGCCGAGAAGGCTACTTCCCTCCTAGCCTGTCTGGTGCCCCCTTCAGCTGCAAAGGTAAGTGTCTGATGTGGGGTACAGGGAATCTCTGGGTGTAAGAGGCTATTGCTGGTTCTCTTGTGGTTCCCATGCAAGAGCAGCTCTGCCTGCCCCCCCGCACCTCTTCCTACTTGCACCTGAACACTAGGTGCTATGCCTGCAGCGATTTCATGAGGGTCCTTCCCACCCAGCCTGACTAGTTAAAGGATCCACTGCCACGCAGCTCACTTCCTCCCATCCTCTGCTCACTAAACCCCACAGCCCCTGTGTGCATGGACACCTCCATCTTCCCATGGATCTGGGGAGAGACAACTAGATTGTATTCCTGCTCATGTGGGGAAACTGAGCCCTCTAGAAGGGAAAAAATTTGGTAAAGGTCACATGGGGAGTCTGTGGCAGAGCTGGGGACACAACTCAGGAGTCCTGACTCCCCAATCCCCCTGCCAGCCCTTAATCCTTCTCCCTCCTTTTGCCTTGTAAGCCAGGGTTCCTTCATGCTCCTCCTCCCCCCCTTTTCCCCACCAGCCCGGGCCCTTTCTCTCCCCGCAACCACTCACCCCCTCTCTCCCAGGAAGAGTGTACACTAAGCCTGGGTCTAATCCCGGCGTAGGGGTGCTTTCCCGCCCTGTGTAGGGCACAGTTGGGCGATATAGGGCAGGGCGAGCGGGGCGACTGCCCCGGGGCCCTGCGCTTCAAGAAGCCACACGCATCTGCCGTGGCAAAGGGGGGCCCCATGAAATTGTGCTGCCCTGGGCCCCATGGAATGGTCATCTGCCACCGGGCACAGTGAGGTGCAGGTAGTGCCGTGTGCATGCTGCGCTCCAGGATATTACAGCCTGCTAATATGGAGAAAGCAGCAGTGTGGGACTGTGGTATGGTCCCGCTTGCACTGCTCACTGCCCCAGCCCTACCTGCAGAGCCCAGGGCTGCCGTCTTAGCTTTGTTTAAAACAGCAATTCCTAGTGTGGAGGGGCACCAGCAAGGTTGAGCTCGAGCTGAGAGAGGGGAGAGGTAAGAGCGAGAGAGAGGGGGAAGGCCGGCAGAACTCTGTCATCCCCCAGAGAAACTTTCTTTAATATATATAAAGATAAATATTCTGCTAAGCGGTATGGTGAGCTGGAAGTGTTTTTCCTTTTTAAGTTACTAGATGGAAGAGTCTGCAGGCCCCAGACAGCAGTGGGAGCCTGCAGGAAGAGTGAGAATAGGAGTAGGAAGAAGGGAGTGGGTGAGCACTAAGACCCAGAAAAGGAAATACCTTCCCTTGCCCCTTACATCTGCTGCCCATGAACCCAACAGTCCTTTTTGCGTACCATCCTGCTGGGACCAATGCTCCATTTTCCTAGCCCACCGCCAGCAATTGAACCCAGGAGTCCAGACTCCCCCTCTCCTGTCTCCTTTCTGCTCCAGCTCCCAATTCTCAGTGAGAACTGAGAAGTGAACCCAGGCTGTCACTTACCGGGCCACTAACACTGCTCCCTCTAGGGGGGAAACTTGAAGGGAACCATATTCCTGGCATGGTGCCCCCTCTGATGCCAGCTGCTGGGCCTGCCTTCTCCCTCCCCACCATCCTCTCACCAAGAGAAGGCTCTGTTGTACAGAGCTGGGCCCATCTGAATTCAGCCATGTGATTTGAGGATGCTACCTGAACCCACATCCCAGGGGGCCACTGCTGCCCCTGCAAGCCCGGCTTTGCATCCAGTTCCGGGGAGCAGAGCTTCACTGACTCAGCAGTGCAGCGCAATGGTGAGAGCCAGTTCATGCAGGAGCAGAGTGACGGATGCAAAAGGCCCCTGGGGCTGATGGGAAGATTCCCACTGGATCCAGTGGGGTTTGGGTCAGTGAGTAGAACCTGGGGCAGTAGAACACTGGTGCGCTAGGGTCACAAATGGCCATCCTGGATTCTGTCACCTAGATATTGATGAATGTTCCCACCATCCATCGCCCTGCGGCCCCAACTCCATTTGCAGAAACACGCTGGGCAGATACACCTGCACGTGCCAGGCAGGCTACCTCCCGCCCAGAAAGTCCAGTGCCCCCTTTAGCTGCCCTGGTGCTGCTGCTCTATTGACTCTTCAGAAACAACAGCGATTTGCCATCAGCCGAGCCGGGACCAAGGCTTTGCCCTGCTCTGATACACCCGGCTGGGCTGGCACAGGGATGGAGGGAGGGTGGGGGTAGCATAAGGAATGAACTAAAGCTTGTGATGGACATGGGAAATCCCTGCAACAGGGTGCAGCAGGCACACCAATGGGGATGGAGTGTGGATGGAGACCCATGGTGGAGAGGTGTTGAGAAACAGCTGAGCAGCCTCCACTCCCATTGGTTACAGGGGAGGGGCCGGTGCCCTGCCTCTAAGCACGTGGCCCTACAATAATGAGCAAGGAGATCTGGTGAGAGAAAATTGCCTCCATGTCACAGCAGGGGAAACCGAGGCATCAGGTGGGGAAAAGACATGACCAAAGTCGTACAGAATCTGTGCAAGAGCTAGGAGTGGAACCCAGAAACCCCCCCCCTTTTGTTTTTAAGTACTAGACCTCACTCATCTCCTGAAGTGCAGGATAGTAGGCAGCAGTCCTGCCTGTGTGCCATCCTGCTAGGACCAGGGCACAACCTTCCTATCCCACCGACAGCAATAGAACCCAGGTGTCCAGATTCCCTCTTCCCCCAACCCCTGGCTCCTTCCTGTGCCAGCTCCCAACCCTCCCTCTCCTCTCAGCGCTGAGAAGGGAACCCAGGCATCCTGGTTCCCACTTTCCAGGCCACTAGCCCTGCTGCCTCTTGGGGATGGGCAGCACACTGCAAACCTTCTGGGAACCATATTCCTGGCACGGTGCCCTCTCTGATGGCAGCTGCTGGCCCTGCCTTCTCCCCTGCCCCCATCCTCCCACCAAGCTAAGCCCCTCTTGTGCACTGCTGGGCTCATCTGAATTCAGAAGAGTGCCCTGAGGACGCCACTTGCACGAACATCCCATGAGGCCACTGTGGCATGAACCCGCAAGCCCTGGGGAGCAGCGCATCACTGACTTAGCAGAGTAGTGCCATGGTGAGAGCCAGTTCAGGCATGGAGCAGAGTGACCAATGCCAATGGTCTCTGGGGCTGATGGAAAGATTCGGTCCAGGCATGGAGCAGAGTGACCAATGCCAATGGTCTCTGGGCTGATGGAAAGATTCCCACTGGATCCAATGGGGTTTGGGTCAGTGTGAGGGGCCTGAGGCAGTAGAACACTGGTGTCCTAGGGTCACACATGGTCAGTTTGGATTCTGCTCCCCCAGATATTGACGAATGTTCCCAGGACCCATCGCCCTGTGGCCCCAACTCCATCTGCATCAACATGCCAGGCAGTTACACCTGCACATGCCAACCAGGCTACCTCCCACCCAGCCAGCTTGACTCTCCCTTTAGCTGCACAGGTAAGCATCTGACACGGGGGATGTTTGTGAGACGCTGTGTGAGAGAAGCTAATGCCTGCTGACCAGGTCACCCGCAGTCGACAGCTAGGTTCTGAGCGGCTCTGCCGGCCCACCCTGGATTCTGACTCTCCAAAGCTCTGACAGCTGCAGAGATTTGAGGGGGATGGTAGTGGGGGCTCCTTCCCACCCCACAGGAAGAGCTACAGGAACAGCTGCCTTGCAGCTCTCTTCCTCCGGCACTTTTCTCGTTGAACCCCACCTCCCCTTTGGCCAAGGAGACTCAAATTCTCCGGTGGAGCCTCATTCCCTGCATTAGAGCCAGAACAGACACTGGACTGGTGTCATTAGACACTGAACTCCATGGCTGGTGGTCGGCACAGCATCCCTATACTTATATGTAATACTCTGTGGGTGGGAGTCGAACCTGGGGCCTTCGGGCCTGGCATTGTGATGGTTGTGACATGGTTTAAATGCATGGTTTTGGCTTTTTGCTTCAAAATGAGGTTTCTTTGGGAAATTTAAACCAACCACCCAACCAACCACAACTGAAATTTGAAATTTAAACCAACCAACCACAACTGAAAAGAAATGGGAAACCGAAACTCACTTCGGGTGGAAGAGTCAATTCCAGATGAACCATTTGGGGTGTTTGTTTCAGTGAGAAAAGCCCCACAAAATCCAACTTGGGGTGCTCAGGGACAATTTCCTCCTGGCTATTTTTAGCCTGGTTTGGCCCCTGCACTGAAAACATTCAGGATTTGCTCTGCTTTTCCCTGGCCACTGAAGTGTTGATGATCCAAGACGCCAAACCCTGTGTCCCACTGTCCCTGCTGCCTGAGCTAACGGGCTGAATCTGTTACTGGGAGGCACCATGAGACCAAAAACCTCTATGCCTGGACCAGGCCCCTCAGTCCAGCCCTAAGAAGGCGTGTGGATGTGTTCCTGTGTGGCTGTGACAGGGGGGATGTCTGCAGGGCAGCAGAAAGGTGCGAAGCCCAGCTCAAGCAGACACTCCCTTGGTGGAGCAAGGGAGCGGATGGGCCAGTATCATAGAACTGCCTGTCCCAGATCCCAGGTGTGTGCTGGGGCAGCAGCCTGAGTTGCACAGTGGCTGCGCTGCTATGTAGCCCAGACAGAGCTGGTGAGCATGTGTCTGCCCAGGCTGGGAATTGCAGCTGTAGCTGCAGTGCCGACAAGGCCCTAGGCTGGGGTAAGGCAGTGCCGCAGATATCTGTGGTGCTCTATGAATGAACACCAGCACCCAGGGGCGGCCCGTGGACCTAGGCAAACTAGGCTGTTGCTTAGCGCGCAGCAGGCCTGGGCGCCTGATGATGACGTCACAGGGCACCGGGGCGCCCCGTGATTACATCACAGCCATTGACGGCCATGCAAGTGGGGGCGCAAATTGCACCTTCTGCCTAGGGCACCAGCTGCCGCAGCTGGCCTCAGGCCACTCCTGCGAGGTGCTGAGTGACAGTGGAAGAAACTCCACTCCCATTGGTTGCAGGGGGAGCTGGCGGGGCTTCACCCCTCAGGGTGTGGCCCTACAATAATAGAAAATCAGATCTGGAAAACAGGATTTTCTCCCTGCACATCTGGGTAACTGAGGCTTCTGGAAGGGAAAGGACATGGCAAAGGTTACGTGTGGAGTTTGTGGCAGAGCTTGGGACAGAACCCAGGAATCCTGACTTCACAGTCCCCTGCTTTCATGTCTAGATCCCAGGTGTCCTGGAATCCACTTCCCAGGCCACTAGCACTGTTGCCTCTGAGAGGGGGCAGCATATTGCAAACCTGCTGGGAGTCATATTCCTGACACAGTGCTCCTCTGAAACCAGATGCTGGTGCTACCTTCTCTCTCCCCATCCCCTTGTCAAGAGAGGTTGTGCAGAGCTGGGCCCGTCTGTATTACGTGTTGTGCCTTGAGGATGCCACCTGCACAAACACCCAAGGGGGCCACTGCTGCCTCTGCAAGCTCGGCTTTGCATCCAGTTCTGGGGAGCAGCACGTCAGTTCAGGCACAGGGCAGAGTGACTGAGGCAAAAGGCCCCTGGGGCTGAAGGAAAGATTCCCACTGGATCCAATGGGTGTGGGTCAGTGTGAGGGGCCCGTGGCAGTAGAACACTGGTGTGCTAGTGTCACACGTGGCTAACCTGGATTCTTCCTTATCTAGATATTGACGAATGTTCCCGAGACCCATCGCCCTGTGGCCCCAACTCCATCTGCACCAACACACCGGGCAGTTACACCTGCACGTGCCGAGAAGGCTACTTCCCTCCTAGCCTGTCTGGTGCCCCCTTCAGCTGCAAAGGTAAGTGTCTGATGTGGGGTACAGGGAATCTCTGGGTGTAAGAGGCTATTGCTGGTTCTCTTGTGGTTCCCATGCAAGAGCAGCTCTGCCTGCCCCCCCGCACCTCTTCCTACTTGCACCTGAACACTAGGTGCTATGCCTGCAGCGATTTCATGAGGGTCCTTCCCACCCAGCCTGACTAGTTAAAGGATCCACTGCCACGCAGCTCACTTCCTCCCATCCTCTGCTCACTAAACCCCACAGCCCCTGTGTGCATGGACACCTCCATCTTCCCATGGATCTGGGGAGAGACAACTAGATTGTATTCCTGCTCATGTGGGGAAACTGAGCCCTCTAGAAGGGAAAAAATTTGGTAAAGGTCACATGGGGAGTCTGTGGCAGAGCTGGGGACACAACTCAGGAGTCCTGACTCCCCAATCCCCCTGCCAGCCCTTAATCCTTCTCCCTCCTTTTGCCTTGTAAGCCAGGGTTCCTTCATGCTCCTCCTCCCCCCCTTTTCCCCACCAGCCCGGGCCCTTTCTCTCCCCGCAACCACTCACCCCCTCTCTCCCAGGAAGAGTGTACACTAAGCCTGGGTCTAATCCCGGCGTAGGGGTGCTTTCCCGCCCTGTGTAGGGCACAGTTGGGCGATATAGGGCAGGGCGAGCGGGGCGACTGCCCCGGGGCCCTGCGCTTCAAGAAGCCACACGCATCTGCCGTGGCAAAGGGGGGCCCCATGAAATTGTGCTGCCCTGGGCCCCATGGAATGGTCATCTGCCACCGGGCACAGTGAGGTGCAGGTAGTGCCGTGTGCATGCTGCGCTCCAGGATATTACAGCCTGCTAATATGGAGAAAGCAGCAGTGTGGGACTGTGGTATGGTCCCGCTTGCACTGCTCACTGCCCCAGCCCTACCTGCAGAGCCCAGGGCTGCCGTCTTAGCTTTGTTTAAAACAGCAATTCCTAGTGTGGAGGGGCACCAGCAAGGTTGAGCTCGAGCTGAGAGAGGGGAGAGGTAAGAGCGAGAGAGAGGGGGAAGGCCGGCAGAACTCTGTCATCCCCCAGAGAAACTTTCTTTAATATATATAAAGATAAATATTCTGCTAAGCGGTATGGTGAGCTGGAAGTGTTTTTCCTTTTTAAGTTACTAGATGGAAGAGTCTGCAGGCCCCAGACAGCAGTGGGAGCCTGCAGGAAGAGTGAGAATAGGAGTAGGAAGAAGGGAGTGGGTGAGCACTAAGACCCAGAAAAGGAAATACCTTCCCTTGCCCCTTACATCTGCTGCCCATGAACCCAACAGTCCTTTTTGCGTACCATCCTGCTGGGACCAATGCTCCATTTTCCTAGCCCACCGCCAGCAATTGAACCCAGGAGTCCAGACTCCCCCTCTCCTGTCTCCTTTCTGCTCCAGCTCCCAATTCTCAGTGAGAACTGAGAAGTGAACCCAGGCTGTCACTTACCGGGCCACTAACACTGCTCCCTCTAGGGGGGAAACTTGAAGGGAACCATATTCCTGGCATGGTGCCCCCTCTGATGCCAGCTGCTGGGCCTGCCTTCTCCCTCCCCACCATCCTCTCACCAAGAGAAGGCTCTGTTGTACAGAGCTGGGCCCATCTGAATTCAGCCATGTGATTTGAGGATGCTACCTGAACCCACATCCCAGGGGGCCACTGCTGCCCCTGCAAGCCCGGCTTTGCATCCAGTTCCGGGGAGCAGAGCTTCACTGACTCAGCAGTGCAGCGCAATGGTGAGAGCCAGTTCATGCAGGAGCAGAGTGACGGATGCAAAAGGCCCCTGGGGCTGATGGGAAGATTCCCACTGGATCCAGTGGGGTTTGGGTCAGTGAGTAGAACCTGGGGCAGTAGAACACTGGTGCGCTAGGGTCACAAATGGCCATCCTGGATTCTGTCACCTAGATATTGATGAATGTTCCCACCATCCATCGCCCTGCGGCCCCAACTCCATTTGCAGAAACACGCTGGGCAGATACACCTGCACGTGCCAGGCAGGCTACCTCCCGCCCAGAAAGTCCAGTGCCCCCTTTAGCTGCACAGGTAAGTGTCTGGTATGGGGGACGTGTGTGGGGCTCCGGGTATGAAAGGCTAAAGCCTGCTGACCAGGTCACCCCACAATGGAGAGCTAGGTATGGAGCAGCCCTGCCGGCCCACCCGGGATTCTGTCTCTCCAAAGCCCCGACAGCTACAGAGATTTCATGGGGACGGTACTGGGGGCTCCTTCCCTCCCTGCAGGAACAGCTACCATGTAGCTCTCTTCCTGCCGCCCTCTGCTGACAAAACCCTAAAGTCCCTTTGGCCAGGGAGAGACAGGGTATGTCTACACTACAAAGTTAGTTCGAACTAACTTTCATAGGCGCTACACTAGCGCTCCGTTAGTTCGAATTTAATTCGAACTAATGGAGCGCTTAGTTCGAACTAGGTAATCCTCATTCCAC